TCGAGATCATTCCACACTCGCCTGCGGCTCGTGCGTAAACATTGCTCTCGTGTGCAGCAAAGTGCCACTTTCACCACTAGTTACACAAATAACTATTGTTTGAATTTCATTTTTGGTGATGGTGAATTTACCTTATGTAACACTTACAACTAGTAAAAATAATAAAAGTACAGAACGTTTTTGGATCGGGAGTCTGATCCCGAAACATTAGGTAAACTTTGTTTTTTGATAATCATAATGGAAAATGTCCACAGTAATGTCTTGGATGGTAATTTCAGCCCCCAAATGTATAGAAGGATTTAAGCAAAATTATTACTATTTTCCAGCAATGTCAATGTCTTAATTTCATCATTAGGGGCCTAATCTTAACTTTCAGCTCCTAGAATTGAAATTACGATTGGATAAGTACGGGAACTCGCTCAGGACTTTTGGCACCAGCTTCGCACAGAATTTTCTCATCCGTTAATGATAGTGTAGACAGATCCTACTGAGAGGCCGGTCTTCTCACTTATGTGAGCAATGGTTAAACGCCTGTCAGAGTCAAAACATCTTTCACTTTGGCCACTTGAGCCGAGGTTCGAGCAATCGTCAAGCATCCGATGTGGTTCTCTTCTTCGACGAGTTCCCAGCCTTCCTAAAACATTTTGTGTCGCACAATACTCTTGTGGGGCTTAAGACATCATACCCATAAACCTGTTTAATGAGGGCAAGGGTCTCACAAATTTTTCGAGTCAAAAGCAAAAATTCTCAGCATAGCGTTGATTGATGGTACGCTCCATGTTGGTGCAACAACACTCTGCACAAAAATCGACCTCCTGTCTTAAGGAGTATCTGCAGGCGACTGAACCCAAGTGTTCCTGAATGGTCGGGGACCCCTCTATCTAGCCCGACCGGTCGGACCCCCTCCACCGCTCTGTAAAAGCTTCAGTGAACCAGTTCCGATTATTGAATAGGCCCTATATATACATGAAATTAAAAAATATGCTTCAGATTTAATTTTTAACCTTTTTCCCTTGATAACCCAACATTTATCAAACTCTGCACATTTTTTGTACAATGTAAGTTTGTAGGACCATACAGTCATTTTGTAATAAAACAGCCTACAACAATATTTTGTTTTCTTTAGTAAATCTAAAATTTTATATCCAAGCAATGACAACAATGCTATCCATAAACAATGCTATCCATACCTCAATTTTGTCTATTGGCTTTGGAGACGGAGGGGCCCGTGTAGCAGGTGGCTCCTCAGGGACCACACTAGGCCCCGGAGTCCCTCCCATGGTTGTGTTGCTACGGGTCTGCTTCTTCACTGGGGTGGCTCCTGTTTAACAATAACATGCATGCAGAGTTATACTAACACACATGTCTCAATCATAATTTATGATCTAACACATACAAAGCATCGTAATTTCAGCGTTCAATCAACACATACATATTTATTCATACCTGCACAAAAGTGTTCAAAGCTTTGTTTGGTAAAGATAGTGTGATTTGCTTGAGCCACACTCTTGGGAAAACGTGCCCATCTATTTTGGACCCACCTTTTGATCCAACCTATTGTATTGTTTCAGCTTTCAATTTGTTTTCCGCATGTTGTTCTGATTACTATACAGTTTTCTATGGGATTTTACAGCTTTAGCTCGATTTGTTTACTAATCTTGTTATGTGTTAGTCTCACCTCAGGATGGGATCTGGACATACACATAAGACCCTTATGAGGTCTTATGAGGGTTATGTGTGGTCTTATGAGGTGAGACTAACACATAATAGAATTTGTGAAAACTTGTTTTTTACTAATTAATTCTGATTGAAAATATCCCAAATAATCCTTCAAACACTATGGTTCAATGAATAGCATCAATGTTATGACTAACAAAAACATAATTTCAAACATATAAAAAACATAATTGAAAATTGGTAAAGGTTCAAAAGTAATATGTTTGATTGTATAAGAAGTAGAATACTCCTATAGGATAAAAATGTGCTTGGTTGCTTAACTCTATAAAAGGTATTGTCATATTATCAATACGTAAATTTGACGTACTGAGTTTTTTTTTTCTAGCAAGGTATATAATTATAATGATAAATAAATAAAGTTTTCATATCATAGTTTCATTCTGCAGGATATATATTCCTTTTATACTTGAATGAATGGTCTTGATGTGAAACTTTCCCGAAAAATATCAGTTACTATCCTTAACATTATTATCCTCTGCATTTTCATCCTGTTGCGAAGCTTGAGCAAAGCAACTAGTTAGTTTAGTATAAAGTAAATACATTTTCATAATTTAATAAAAAAAGTTCATAAACAAGCAAACTACAATAGTTTACTTATTCTTCATAAGAATAACATAAGAATTGTAAATTTAAAGTTTTTTTAAATTTTCTCCTTAATAAATTAACGCATAACAATGCTTCAATATGCTAAATTATTAGTTTTTTAAGCTCTACAAAATGGTTTGGGAAAAAATCTTTTTTTCTAGAAAGAAATTTTCATAATTCCAAATTAGCTAAAGATCTACAATAAAAACACATTCAATTTAATTAATAATCTGTCTGTCCCCGACCCGCGGTGTGACCGTGTGTTTTGTTCAAGCAGGCCTGCATGTCTTAAAGCTTTACGTGTTGTAAATGTATATGTTCCGTGTCGTGTCGTATTCGTGTTACATGTTTATTTAATTGAACAATGACGAGGCCATCTAATCGGGTGATTAAAAACTTCACTAGTACTCAGCTGATGATGACAATGTGTCGAAACATGTACTGAAGTGAAACTCAGATTCAGTGAGCTATTGACGTAAGTAATCTGTTCTTAACTATACAAGTTTATTTTTTTACATTTCTTGGACCTTGAAATAAACTGGGAGGCTTGTACACATTAAACTAGGTCAATTTATTTTTTATGTCTCAAAATAGTCTTAAAATTGCTCATTTAGACACATATTTTCTATTTAGGTTTTTTTTTGCTTACGATATTGCAAACATAATTCTTCAATCATCAATATTCTTGTTATGTTTGCCATATAAATTGTATTTTTCAAGTTTCATGCCCAATCAAACTTCTTTAGTTAACAAGAAATTAAAAAAAAATAGGGTTCCTAGTCCCGTTAATACCGGGATTAAAATACACCAATCCCATCATTTCAAGGTATTATAATTCAATCTGGATCCCAGGATCGAGACCCCTATGTACTTCTCAACTTATGCTCTCATTCCATATTCACTCCTGACCCTTGTGCACCTTTCCCATGATGATAAAAATTAAAATTTGCTGTGAAAAATAGTCTTTGAAGTATAGATTTTATCTGCAAAGCTTTGTTGCATTATATGGAATGGTTAGCAGACTTTTTGAGTACCATGTATAAACAAAATTACTGTACTAGAATCGTACAGCTATCCAGTACCCTATTATATACTCAATTCAATAATTTTCAAAGTGGAATTAACACTCAAACTACATTCATTTAATGAAATATTGGCCTGTGGATCACCAGCATTAATATTAAAGGTTCAAGTCACCTGCCTTAATGTCAGAATGATCCGTTGTAGCGTAAATTACCTACATAACTGTTTTCAGACCAAAAGGTTGTTGAGACCTAAATTAATATCCAAAATACTCACCCAAGTATGCAATAAGTGATACAAATTACCGTTACTGTACTCTAACACACTACACTATAGTTAATTGTGTAACTAGTGGTGAAAGTGGCACTTTGCTGCACACGAGAGCAATGTTTACGCCCGAGCCGCAGGCGAGTGCAGAATGATCTCGAGTGCAGCAAAGGCCTTTTTCACTCGTGTTACACATTATATTTTTCCTACAGTCACTATAAAGCATAAATAATTAGTCTTTCAAACACTATACAACACGTTTTTAGGTTCAGCTGGCAACACAAATGGTGCCCTAGAGAAAGTAATACCCGCGGTCCGTATCACTCCGCTATTTTTCCTCGGCAAGAAATGTGCTCCGCGTTTTGAGAATATAGTTCCGTATGTTTTTGTAATTTGAAGTGGTTTCCGCGCCTAAAAAAAAAATGCTTTAAAGCTATTTTCTTGTTTATTCAGTTCATAGGAATGTTTTAAAAACGTTTAAAAGAAAAGTCCAGAAAGTTCAAAAATACCGAAACTACAAACACAAAATGACAGGTTAAATCGTAGTTATAATAGTCAATCAGCTGCTCATAGTATTATTATCTTTAAGTGTTGCCAACCTATTTCCAAGCGTACACGGATTACGTGCATAATAGAACCACGTTGTTTTGTGTTGTTTTGTTGGAATCCTGATGTGCGGCAAAGTATAAACCGTACGGCAAAGTATTAATATGCAGCAATTAGCAGCTTTATGTACTATAAACAGTATAAGGAAGCCAACTTTGTCGGGTGACTGTAGGAAAAATAGGTTTAAGCGAATTTCCCTACAGGGATATAGCTATTACCGTAGTTGGCACAGTAAGAACTTCGCTAAAGCTGAAAAATAAATTTCACTTAAGTTAAAACCGTTTGCAAAAACAAATAAAAAACAATCGAACGTGAGAATAACTGTTTGGTTTAATACATTTAAGCTTATAGAATCATATATAGTCTTATGCGGTTTGTTGAAGGGGATAGCAGTTTTCATTATGAACTGGACAGTTAATCCCCATGTTAAAGTTATGGCCAGTATACAAAACAAAATTAACTAAGTTGGATTGAGCCTCAGACTGAGTGTTGATGTAGGCTTTCTGTCGAACAAGTAAATTTATAACCAAGAATAATCGAATGGACAGTTATTTATTTGTATACTTTAGCTTCTTTTAAGTAAGAGCCTACATAAGCTATCACAGTATCAAAAACTAATGGAAAACATAGAATTGTAGGCAGTAGTAGCGAATTGTATGACAGGCTCATCATCATGATTACAGCTGGTCCATTGTAGCTGGGAATTTCACTTGAATATCAAAAAGTCGAAAAGTCTAGGGAAAAATTAAACCAGGATTTGTTTAAGTGTTTTACTAATCTTATTACTTTTTGGTAGATTTAGATAGCCCTTTTCTACTACTTTTATTAGAAACCACAGCTGAAGGAACGGTGGAATGCGACGAACTGTTATCTCCCTCACGTCTCTTAGCCGTTAAATAACACTTGGAAATAAACAAGGTCGTGTTAATAGCGGCTCTCATTTTACGTCGAGCATTGAAGCGCCTGAGTGCCTCGAATGTATCGGAGCGATGAAGCCAAGTTCGTTTGGCCGTTCTGATCTTGACGAACCACGGATGTTGGAGGGCTTGGGCAGCCGTCAGTCGATGTTTGGGTACAACACACAGTAGCTTCTGCATCAGGTCCTTGGCTTCAGGAGTGACGTGACTCCACGTCAGAGAGTCTAAGTAGTAGTCACCTTCTTTGATCAGCTTCTCCAGCTTCCTCGGGTCTTGGTGGTAGAACGGCTGTTGTCCAGTCAGTAGTATGTACATGATGACCCCGCAAGACCAGCAGTCCACGGGTTTGCCGTAGGGTTTCATCTCTAGCACCTCGGGAGCCATGTAGTTCGGAGTACCGGAGAGACCGAAAAACTTATCTTGGTCACCCTCAACCTCCACGGCTAATCCAAAGTCTGCTAGTTTGATAATCTTCTTCTCTTTGCTCTCCAACAGAATATTTTCGGGCTTCAAATCCCTGTGGACCACTCCCATTGTATGGCAGTATTTGATCGCTTCCAACATTTGAAACATACACTTAGCAGCCAACTCCTCGGTGTAGTTACCGTCTCTGGTGACGAGGTCGTCGAACAATTCCCCTCCGGTCACCAGATCGAATAAAAAAACATGAATTTTTTCCAGACTGATGACTTTATGCAATCTAACAATATTTGGGTGATTCAATTTTCTACATACCCGCGCTTCCATTTCCAGTTTCTTCATAGTGTTATCTCGTTTTACCAGTCTGTGTTTATGAATTATTTTAGCAGCGTAGTGCTCTTTTGTCTTGGAATCTTCACATTTATAAACTGTAGCAAAAGCACCTTTTCCTAAGACTTCTTGTATGATGTATCGGTCTTCTATTATTGGAGGTACGTTATTGATATTGACAGGCATAGACAGGCAGAAATAAGTTGATTAAAAAGTAAATTGGGGTAAGATTTAGGAATTTTTTTTAAATTTCGTTGGTTGTCATAGAAAATTGTTATTGTTACAGATACGTTTTGAGGAATTTTAGCAAAATTCAAAACTAAGAGAGACTGAATAAGTTATTATATTTTAATAATAGCGTATAGGCATATACAAAACTCTTTGAATAAAAATTTTGTATTTCATTATTAAATATAGATCATTTTTGTTTAATTACTAACATCTGAACAGAAACTTGTATTTTTACAAATTTCACATTTTTCAAAGCACTTACACTAGCCTTATTATTTTCTTTTCTCAGACTTTTACCTTGAAAATTAACTGTGAACTAATACAAAAATATATCACATGTGAATAAAACAGCATTACAGCATTACAGTAACCATGGGCGCCCACAGGGGGGTGCGCCCCCCTGCGATAAAAAGTAAGAAGTATATTTATTACCCATAATGTTCTGTAATCAATTAGGTTATAATGAATTTATAAAAGTACGTTCATAATGGTCATATCTAAGAAATGTTTCAAATTGATGTTTGAATCAAATAAGTAGTTGACTCACAGATGTGCCATTCTTTTACTTAAAAAACTAAACTATTCAGAAAACAAAACATCAACTTTCTTGGCTGTTATCTAGGCTTTATTCAACTGTAATTTTATTTTTCTTTATTTTATGTTTGGCTTGTGGATTTGACCATATAAATTATACATAATAACTTCAAGGGGTAGCTTATTAATTTAATGTTGGCATATAAATGATGACTTGATGCACAATATACTATTTCATTTTGGTTGGTTCTATGTGTTACAAAATAGTGTAAAAATATGTTTTGAAACACTATATTTTCAGAAATTTTTCCCAGGGAAGGACCCGGACCCCCGAATGTTCGTTAGACCTACATATTGCACCCCCCGGTTCCAAATCCTGGGAGCGCTCATGACAGTAACATCAGGTTTCCTCTCAAATGCAGAAAAACTTTGGATTGCAAAAGTTCTGTTAGACCCCTAAAGGTAGACCCCATTAATGCTGGCTTCATTTTTAAGAGGAGAAAGGGGAGACAATACGTACTGTTACCATAGATAATGTCAATATTCAACAAACAAATTTTAATTAAATATAATAATACTTACTTTTACTTTATACTTTTTATTGTATACACTTTGAGCATAGTTTGTGTTTTTAAATCCAGAAAACACTATTCAGGTTTTTTATGTGTAAAAGGTGTAACATTATATGAAAGGGGTACCCAAACGGTCCTCGCTTTATACAAATAATTAATTTAATCTGGACTTCCATAGATCCTAACAATTAGGATTTACTGTTACTGGTAATCCAAATAATTTAGGGTTTAATATATCTAAAAATTTAAATTTACATTTATGAACAGCAAAAATTCTTAGTTAGTCTTCCATATACAGTATATGGAAGACTAACTAAAACCAACTGACTGACAGTTGACTGAGGAATTGCGGATGCAATGGGACTGAACGGTAACTGGAGTGATGTGTGTGAATCCACCTTAAGTCTGTTCAATAATGTTGCACTATGACGAAAAATATAGTTCATCACACGGGCAAAAAGTGCTAGTGATAAATTAAATAAACAAGTAATAATAAATTGATTACTTTTACTTAGTTTGCAAATTATAAATATTGAAAGCATACCTCAGAAATATTTTACACAATGCAATGTAAATTCATGATTTTGTAAGCAAAGAAAATAAGACTTGAAGTTTGAATTGATCAGTTAAAATATCAAATTAACATCATATTTCATCATCTGTTAGCTCTCATTACCAATAAATAAATTAAAATTCCTTACATGAAGGGCATTTTTTTCAGGAAATAGTATATTACGTTACTAGTCCTGAAAATAAGTGTTTACCGGACGAGTGTGGTCGTTCCCGTGCGAGACGAAGTCGAGTACGGGATTACCATACGAGTCCGGTACACACATTTTGGACGAGTTCGTACGATAGTTTACGCCATACTACTAAATCCGTAAAAATCCTTATATATTTCCACCAACTAAAGGACTAAAAATCACTAGTCATAACCTCTAAGAGAGGTTATGTTTTTGTTTATAACCACTCACTGCCACCTAAATACAGTATAATCAGCTGATTGGTGTCCGGCAAAACTCATTGCAGCACAGTAGTACGCAATGAAACCCCATTTGAATAAGCTGGCGGCAAACAGCTGTTTTCTGGACTAAATCCTTGCGTGGGAAGTTCGTCAAAATAATGTAGTGTGGCGTAAAACTGTTTTCAGAGCTTTTCAAGAACATACATTATAAATATGAAAGTTACATGATTGAATATCCATTTTCGTACAACTTTTTGAATAATCAAGTTCAAATCTATCGCTCTATTTTATGGGGATGTATATAACAGAGAGCCTTAACTTTTATAATGATATACATACTTTAGACCTTATGTTTAACCCTTTTGAGCCCCAAAGGTGATACATAGGCCATCGCAAACCTTCACTTACAACTACTGGAACTACATAATAAAAATCAGCTGAAGCTAAAGTCAAGATTAGTAGGCCTACTACTCTACTACGATTGCACTTTTCAGTGATACACTAATTGTTGCAAATAAATGCGATAGTTGCATTGCTGTGCCTTGTCCGTCAACTAATAAGACATAATATAAATTTGACTAGTGGTTTAGTTTTCTTTATTTTCGTACCAGTGCAAATTAGTTGTTTCTTAAACCTTTTGAGTACTAGGCCTATTTTTCAATTTTTTAAGACTTTGTTGTTTAGCTTTTTAATTATATTACCTTTTTTTTAATTATAACTTTGTTCCCACTGTTTTTTTTTAATTAGGCTGGTATTTGCTGCAATCATTGAATAAAAATGTGTTTTAATGGTAAATTTTTAAAGTTTTTTATAAATTGTAATGTTTTGATAGCATTATTTGGAACCAAAGGCTTATAAAATCAAAATACATTTTGTTTACAATGTAATATTGAATTAAACCTGTATGTAGATAAGATATATGTTAAGATTATTATAATATAGAGTTTTAGGGAAAAACTTGATTCTCAGTAAAACCTCAGTAACACCAATTACGAACACTATTGTGATTCAACTAAAATATATCATCAAAACAGTCTGTGACTAACTAGTGCTGCTAACTAGTAATGCAATAATTGTTGACGTCAGCTTGAATACCGGTTTAAAATCCATAGTCTTCAGCACAGATAGCCGAGGTGGCTAGGGCCGTGTCACTTGGCCAATGGTATTCATCTGCTCGGGTTCGAGTCCCGTCCTGTGTGGCAATTAGGTGACAACCTGTGTTTGTAGCGATATACTACAACCGCTGGGGCATAGTGAGGTGGGGTTTAGACATTCATCTCAAATCATCAGATTGGGCGAATCATTTAGCTAAGTGGTTGTTAGTGTATCCTATAAACATGGTCACCAACGGCCGTTTTGTTACTTTTTTGTTTAAATAATACAACAATATATCGTTGCATAACACTCAAAGGGTGAAAAAAACCATGGTTTACATCACTCAGATAACCGGCAACTGTTGAAGTGTGATATTCTTGATTATGGCTACATCTGCGCAATTACAGCGTAACCAGCGTCAAAACTTTGCTAGTAGTAAGAAACAACTAACCTGAAGTGGAACGAAAATAAGGTAAATAAAACCAATATACAGTAGGTACACCACATAAGGTGTTTTCTCCTTGGCCATGGATTAGCATCTTAGATTCAAATCCCACTTTGGCCAGGTCTGTTAGGAGGTCACCTGTTAGTGTCAGAGGTGACTGGATAGAATTATTCATCTCACACTAGGCTACTTGCTGCTTAAACTTACAACTGTATGTGTCTATAAAACACTTGTTCTATAATTATTTTGACTTGTTTGTTGAAAAGTTTTAAAAATCATTAAAATAAGCATAATTAAATCCAATACAAAATCTCTGGGGCTCAAAGGGTTAAACAGGCAAGAAGGTGGTAAATAACAACATGTTTAAAATGTGTAATGTTTATATTGCATGCATATAAAGACAATAACTGTGGATAAAAGGCCACGATACATGACAAGATTGGTCCCTCGACATGAGCGAACACATCCAGTGACACATCATCACCCTACGACTAAACAATAAGTATTGCGATGTGTGAATAAATAACAAAACAACTTATCACAGAGTTCGATTATGCCCTAACTCAAACAAGCAAACAAAATAAAACTCGAATAAATATGTACCTAAACACAACCTCGGTTAAATAAATAAATACTAAAACTCAGTGTAAATAAATAATGCGAATAAATACCGATCCGACCTTCACATACACAACATTCACTATATAATTACCTAATAAATAATAACAATTGGCAGTAGTTTTCACAGCTAAATCAACAGACACAATGTCAACAGTAACGGTCCATCGAGCGGTGAGGCGGGAAGACACTTGTATATATAACCGGACATATAACGTCCCGTGTGTGGTGGGCTCGTCGGCTGAGGTCGCAATAGTAAGAGAGAGAGGTGATCTGTCCGTGCGTCCCTCCAACGGTCAGCCTTAACAGATAAACAACCAGGTTAGTCAAGTAGTAGTGATCACTCTTACTATTGTGACTTCAGCACTAGACCTCTACACACTACACATGGGACCTTACAAACGACTATAAGACTCGTGCTTAGTGACATTAAAATACAAATGGGTCCTTATAATTCTTGTTTTATATACAACCACCATTTAAGTTAAGACTCATGCTTCGTATATGAATGGTCTTACTTGGTATTAAATACTTGTGGAAGCATTACAATTTATAGTAGTTTAACACCGACTCTGAGACGGTATTCACATATAACTGATATTCTAT